AGTTGTGAAATTCTGTTTGCAATGAACAGAACTTATTCGTTGTGTGCTGTTTTACTCCGTGAAAATCTTGCTACTGACATGTCTACGAGTTACTTTGTCAAAAAACACCGTCAACATCAAGAATTCCATCAATTAATGGTTTATTTCGATTCAGTTCACTGGTTTCCGTTGTCTCCATCGAAAAATGCTCCTTTCTGATGAAGTTGCTGTTGTTTTTATGGTATAAATATTATAGGAAACCTTTAGAATTTCTCAATAACTTAGCTGAAAGTTTAGTTATGTGATGGATAAATACAAGAAGGGTGATCGACGTGGGTTGATTGCTGAGACGAGAAAACGAGACCACGACAAGCGAGAACGTCATAAGCATGATCGTAGTGATAATGATCGTGCTGACAGGTACTCTCGTTCCGATCGAGATCGTCGTTGGTCGTCTCATCGAGATTACAGAAATCGAGATGAAATCAGAACACCGCTTTTTAAGGTTTGTGACATTTTTTGTTACATGTTTAAATGCCTTTCAGAGAATACAATTTCGATTTGAGTGAATACAATTTGAGTTATCTTACTTCATGATTCGAGTCAAACTATCCTTTGGCAAAATATCAGTGAATTCGAATTAGATGGTTCGTTACTCATTTGCAAATAAAACTTTCGTTGAGTTCAGTCACTGGAAATGACACAGATTATGGAATAATGTCGAAACCGGCATTGCAATCTGAAGAGAACGTAAATGATAAACTTTGAAGGTTCCAAATTCGCCATCGCAAGTTGGTTGGGACGATGAAGATTTTCGGAATTCGAGATCTTCTTCAAGGAAATATCGATCTACTTGGGATATGCCCACACCATCGTCGACCTCAGGAGATATGACGAGTTCAGATCGAAGTGCTTGGAGTATATGGCAAAGTGAAAGGAATCGAGAACGCAATCGGAAAAACAGAAGGCATAAACGGTTGGATTTTTTTGTACTTTGAATCTGGATTTTGATATTTGATCGTAGACAATAATAATCATGTCTTTGCTTGTTGAAGAGCTGAAATTTACATTCGGAATTTAATAAGAATCGTCTTATGAATACTTGATGGACGCTTTTTTAGATTCACCTAGCCGTGAACTATCTTCCATTTTTAGTTATAT